TAGTGAATGCCATACTTGATGCCATATGTTGGGAAGTTTGTCCTGTCCTTTAGAGAAACTCTTTTTTTTTTTAAATTTTATTAGTGAAACACCATGAGGTACAGTTGTAGACTTACAACTTTTTGTGCTTGGGTTTCAATTATACAATGATCAAGTACCCATCCCTCCACCAGTGCCCATTTTCCACCACCAGGGGTCCCAGTATCCCTCCCACCCCCCAACCCCCATCCCACCCTGCCTCTGGTAGGGCATTCCCTTTTGTTCTCTCTCTCCTTTTGGGTGTTGTGGTTTGCAAAAGAGGCAATCATGTTTGGTCTATAGTCTACTTTCAGCATGCTTCCCCCATCCTGGGAGGATCCTCCCAACACCTTTTATTTGGTGCTCCCTTCTCTGTCTGAGCTCCCTTTTCTACTAGCATGTGTGGCTGGCCTCCAAGCCATGGAGTAAACCTCCTGGTACTTATCTTGGCTGTTCTTGGGTATTAGTCTCCTATTTTGTTACTTTATGATCCCCAGATGAATGCAGTCTTTCTATGTCTGTGCCTCTCTTTCTGACTCATTTCGCTTAACATGATACTTTCCATGTAGTACCACTTATATGTAAATTTCATGACTTTATCTTTTCTAACAGCTAGATAGTACTCCATTGTATAGATGTACCAAAGTAGAGAAACTCTTTTAATGCTTCTTGCAAAGTGGTTTCAAGGATATAAATTCCTTAAGCTGTTGCCTTTCCATAAAACTTTGTCTAGTTCTCAGGGTGTGTGTCTTTTTCCCTTTAAGCATTCTTTTCAGTTGTCATTATAATTTCATCTTTTCCTCTTTATGATGAATTTTCTGCTATAATTTTTATAGTCCTTATGTTAGCTCCTGTTAGCTTAAAGATTTTTCTCATTTCCTCTCATTTTTATCAATTTAGAGTTAGTATTTGTAGTCTTTTTTTCTTCTTAAAAGTAATTGTATTGGTTCTGTAGCTTTGTAGATCCATGGTTAATTGATTCACTTTAGTTTTGGATAATATTGGCCATATTTTCTATTTTTTGTTTTGCTTTGTTGTTTTCCTTCTTAGATTCCAATTAGGGATATTTTGAACCTTTTAATATTGTTTGAGTAGACTTGAATGCATCATACTTTATTTCACCTGATATTTTTGTCATGTTTTAATTTATGAATTTGTACTTCTAAGTTGTTAACTTTTGGGGCTGGAGTGATAGCACAGCGGGTAGGGTGTTTGCCTTGCACGTGGCTGACCCGGGTTTGATTCCCAGCATCCATTATGGTCCCCTGAGCGCCGCCAGGAGTAATTCCTGAGTGCAAAGCCAGGAGTAACCCCTGACCATTGCTGGGTGTGACCCAAAAAGGAAAAAAAGAGTTGTTGACTTTTCTTACCTATTTAAAGTTAGCCTGTTGAAAACTCATATTTTCATATCTAGAGTTTCTGTTTGAGTATTATAATTTCAATTTCTCTTTAATTTTTTATTTTTGTCACATAGTTATTAGGGCTTTTAACATGTTAATCATAGTATTTTTTCTCATCCACATTGCTTTTGTTAGTTTTTCAAAAAATAATTTAATGAGGTAGTATGATACATTGTAGGGCAACATTGGTTTTTTGTTTCTCCCTGGCTGCAGGGAGCTTGGGTTTATTGGGTTACACCATTCACAGTGCTCCTGAGGCATTCCCATTCCTCTGTGTTTATCTTTAACTTCTCTGTGCTATCTTCCCCAATTGGTTAATCACCTATTTCCTCTAAGCAGTACCTGTAACTTGTAAAGTCAAATTCGTCAGAAACCTCTGATTTTGTATTTGTAAGTGAAATATTGCTTTTCTCCTTCCTTACATTCTTTGCATAGTTTACTTCAGAGCAATGTCCTTTTTGCATAGATACATGAAGACAGTTAATACTATGCTTTTGTAACTTGGGACTTTGAATAATATTCACTCTTGGGCATCTGTTTTCTTGACTTAAGCCTCAGTTGCCCTTAGTTCCTAGCATCCCAAACGCAGGATGTGGGGAGAATGGAATAAACTGCAATTGGTGGCCTGGAGGCCCTGTTCCCTCCTTCATGCTTCTGTTGGTGGTGACTGCAGGCCGGGGTGGGGGCTCATGGCCACTGAACGCATGTGGCGGGTAAGAGAGACCACGGCACCGCTGCTCACTTCTTTATTTTGTGAACACACACAATTTCTAAAGTTAGCCATAGATAAGTTAAAAAAATTTCATTATAGCACTGTGATTTACCAAGTTCTTCATAATACAGTTGTTTAAGGCATTAAATGTTCCAACATCAATCTCTCCATCAGTATAACCTTCCCTTCATTAATATCCCCAGTTTCCAACCCACTACCTTAGTCTGCCCCTTTGCAGGCATACACAAATTTTTAAAATTTATTTCATATTGTTTGGTGCAACACAAATGAAAATGGAATGATCAGAACTTAGATCGGAGAGTGTCAGGTGTGGCTGCGGGCTGCTGTGCCTTCAGGCAGAAAGGGGGATTCTAGAAGAACCCCCAAGTTGGCAGCCTGGATCAGTCTATCTGGGCAGATACAGTCACATCATGAACCTTTCAAGATTAGTTGTGGAGCTGAGCCATTTAGGCATGCAGTGTTCCAGCACCAATCCTCCAGCCAGTGCCAGCTGTTCACCAGTGCCCCTAAGTTTACTCTACCCCCAGCCTGCCTCCTTGACAGGCACTAAAAACTAAGTTTGGTTGTTGTAATTTGAATCTCCTGCTTACATGTTGTAGCTCTGGTTAAATGTGTATACATACCACAGCCCTAGACCCCTCATGTACCTGAGGCTTCTGGCCCCTCTCCCTGTTACTTCCCATCCATCTCTTCTTACTCTCCCCCATGTTTTTTCTTTTCATATCTTTCTCATGTCTGTAATCTAGTGTTCCCTGCCTTTGATATTATTCAGTCCCTCAGAGAGATCATCCAATATTTGTCCTTCTTCTGACTCACTTTACTTAACAGAATGTCCTCCAGTTTTATCCAGGTTGCAACAAATTTCATGATTTTATCGTTCCTTGCAGCTGCATAGTATTCCATTTGTGTGTGTGTGTGTGTGTGTGTGTGTGTATACACCACACTTTCAGTATTCACTCATCTGTCATTGGCTAGCTGGATTGATTTCATATTCCAGCTATTATAATGCTACAGTGAATAATTGTGTGCATAAGTTCTTTTGAATGAATGTTTTTGTGTTCTGGGGGTGAGACCTATAAATGGGATTTTTGAGTTATATGCATCTCTATTATGGTTTTCTGTTCTCCATAGGGGTTGAAGCAGACAACATTCCCACCAGCAGTGGATAAGAGTGTCTTTTCACCATATCCCTGCCAACATAGATGGTCTCCATTTTTTTTTTTGATATGTGCCATTCTCACTTATGTGTGATGGCATGCAGTTGTTGTCTTGATATGGATTTCCCTGATAATAAGTGATGATGAGCACATTTTCATGTGTCATCCATCTGTCTTCTTCAGAGAAGTGTCTGTTCATTTCCTCTCCCTTTTTTTTCTCGTCTCCTCATTTTTGGATTTTGTTGTTGTTGATCTTTGTGAATACTTTATACATACTAAATATTAGCCCTTTCTCTGTTTTATTGAGTATGAATATTCTCTCCCATTCGGTTGGGAGATTTTTAGTTTTAGGGCGTTCGCCTTACAAGCGGCCGACATGGCCGACCCGAGTTCGATTCCTCCGCCCCTCTCGGAGAGCCTGGCAAGCTACCGAGAGTATCCGATATGCCAGACACAGTAACAACAAAGTCTCCAATGGAGACGTTACTGGGCCCACTCGAGCAAATCGACGATCAACGGGAGGGCCTTTACCTTTACCTTTACCTCTTCTTTAGCCATATAGAAACCTTTTCATTTGATGTAGCCTGGTTTGTTTATTTTTTGTTTCTGTTGCCATTACTAATGGAATCATATCATTGAAAACTTTCTGCTATATTTTCTGAGAACATTCTGCTATATTTTCTGCAATATATTTTATGGATTCTGCTTTGAGAACATTCTGCTATATTTTCTGCAATATATTTCATGGATTCTGCTTTGAGAACATTCTGTTATATTTTCTGCAATATATTTTATGGATTCTGATCTGATATCAACATCTTTGATCCACTTTGAATCAACTTTTTACTGGAGTTTGAGTGAATCTTTTCAAGTGTTGGGCTTGCGTTGAGAGGTTCATTGTTTCTAGGCCTACTGTCCATGTACCACTGCCTTAAAATTCTTCTGGTTTACCTATAGGAGGATATGGCTTGCAGAATATTTTCTCATAATGTCTGTATGTAGACAGATATCATATGTTTATCAATGTCTAATAGGCCTTTTAGATCTTTTAATAATGCTGCCTCCCAGGGCAAGTCCGTCAGTGTGATCTGCCAGCTTTTCTGGTAATACCCTGTTAGTTGTTACTTGCTTCTGAATACCTGCTGGCGTGGTGGTGGTTTGTCTGGAGAAAGGGGTTTACATTTTGTATTGTTCTAAATTTAATTAGAATCAGTGTTGTTGACTTGGTAAATCTCAGAGCAGGCACTTCCCTTTTCTATCTCTGTCTATTAATTGCCCTGGTTTAAGTTGGAAAACAAATACAGTTTCAAACAACCAAACTTGTAGGAAAAAACAATCCTGATTTTCGTCCTTCCTTCCTTCCTTCCTTCCTTCCTTCCTTCCTTCCTTCCTTCCTTCCTCCTTTCCTTTCCCTCCCTGCCTCCCTCCCTCCCTGCCTCCCTCCCTCCCTGCCTCCCTCCCTCCCTCCCCTCCTTCCCTTCTTCCTTCCCACCCTCCCTCCCTCCCTCCATCCCTTTCTTCCTTTCTTTCTTCCTTGTGGTCACACCCAGTAGTACTAAGGGGCTACTCCTGGCATTGCATTCAGGACTCAGAGTTCAAACCCAGGTTGATCACATGCAAGGCAAATGCTGACCTGTCACTCAAGCCTTCCAATCCTGATTCTAACATTTGAACTTTTGTCTCTTTTCCTAGACACCACACCAATCCAGTGGGTACTGAATGGAGGTGGGAGATGGACGAGCCTGAAGTAATCTTAAAGGAGGCCATCAAAAACCATCAGAACATGATCAAGCAGTTTAAAGGTATTTACATACTTCCGCAGAGAAGTGCTAATAGTTTAAATTGAATTGGCAGAGGAATTGCTTCTTTGACAGTATTTTGTTCCTTTTGACAAATTTTCACGTAAGTAATTGAAAAACTATAAAATTGCCATATCCATTTTGGCCTTTTAAACAGTGAAACAGTAGCTTTTACTGTTGACATTCATATGATGAAAAGAACCAAAAACCTTTTAATTTAGACTTGGGTTTATTCAGCGTACAAGATTTGTTTTCTGAAAACTTTTGCTACTTTTTTTCTGTCTTGATGAGGACTGAGTAGTCTTATGAATGCAATAGAACTTGAGACCATTGGAAGAATTTAAATAATTTCAGATCAGTGCTTTTCAACTGCCTAAAGCAATCCATCAACTGGTTATGTTCTATCAGTGTATAATGTTGAAAACCAGAGTTATGTTGTATTGAGAAGGCTTTTTTGAATATGCCTTATAAAATGGAGTGATGTTATTAATTAGAATTTACCTGACATAATACATAGTGAAGTACTACAGTTTTATCACCCTGGTTCTAGTATTTTCTGATACATTTAGGTTTGTATTATAAGGTTTTTGACTTTTATGTAAGGTTTATATACACAGCTTGCTAAAACACAAATTCCTTAAACACACACATATACATATATACATACACTTTTCTATAAACTAATACTTTGTAAACAGACTATTATTTTTCACTTAAAAAGCAAAATAAAAATAAAGCAGATTTCTCATCCCTCTCCTTATAGAGTGCTTCTGAGTTATGGATCACTTGATCACTTGACTTCCCGTTAATCATCGATTTGCTCAAGCGGGCGCCAGTAACTTCTGCATTTGTCCCTGTCGTGTGCTAGTGTAGCCCATTGGCATCTGTTCGTTCTAGGAACACGAAGAGCCTCAAACCGATCGTTCAGGGTCTTGATGAAGAAGTCTAACCATCTGGTAGGTGGGCAGCCACGCAGACTTTTGACATCCCATGAAATCTAGTCTGTAATGGCTTGCCTCCAAATCACATTACGTGTCCAGCCCATCTGATTTTCGATGCTTTGGCAAACGAGACAGCGTCCCTGATTCTTGATCATCAATGGAGGTCAGAACTCCGGATTCTTCCTCACGTTTGAATGAAATGTGATACTCCAAGCATAGCTCTTTCTATTCCTCTTTGGGAGACCCGAATAGCATTATCATCCTGTTTGCGTAGGGCCCAGGTCTCTGAGGCGTATGTTAATGCAGAAAGAACAGTGGAATTGAAGAGATGTGCCCGGAGCTGGAGGTTGTTCGTCCTCTTAGCTATTTCTTCGATGCTCTTCAAGGCATTCCAAGCCTCTCTCTTCCTCCTGCACAACTCAGGTGCCAGGTCATTTGTCATGTTGACTTCTCGACCTAGGTACACATAATTGTTGCATACAGAGATGGTCCTTCCATTGAGAGTGAATGGAACGTCAGGAACGATACCATTTCTCATAAACATTGTCTTCGTGAGATTCAGTCCTACCGTTCCACACTCACGGTCGAAGTTGGCCAGCATTTGTGCCACTTGGCTAATGTTTGGTGTTATTAGAACAATGTCATCAGTGAAGCGGAGGTGGTGTAATTGCCGACCATCTATCTTCCCTCCCATTCCTTCCCATTCCAGTTGTCACATGACATCCTTGAGGGTGGCACTGAAGAGTTTTGGTGAAATGGTATCACTCTGCCGAACCCTTCTCTTGACATGGATGATATCACTTCTTTGTAGAATGGTGAGATCCTGGTAGTGAATCCGTAATACAGCTCACAGAGGATCCTGATGTATTGAGTTTGAATGCCCTGATTAGCTAGGGCTTCAATGACTGCTTCTGTCTCAACAGAATCAAAGGCCTTCTTTAAATCAATAAACGTTAGACAGAGCAGCATCTTGAACTCCTGAGAAACCTCAATGAGCTTGGTTATCGTGTGGATATGGTCGATGGTGCTGAATCATTTGTGGAACCTGGCTTGCTCGCATAGTTATCCTTCATCTAGTGTTCTGCCAATCCTATTCAGGATGACTTGAGTGAACAGCTTGTAGACAATAGACAATAGGCAGATCGGGCGATAGTTGCCAATGTCATGGATGTCTCCCTTCTTGTACAGTAGTACAGTCCTGCTGGTTTTCCATTGGGACGAATCTTTGCATTCAGACAGGTAGCATGTGAAGAGCCGAGCCAGTGTATTGATGAGTACTGATGGCAGGTTCTTCAGGTGTTCAGGTCTGACCTTGTCTGGGCCAGGTGCTGTACGTTTCTTTACTGACGAGATGGCGTGTCATATTTCGGAAGGGAGAATGTTGGGAATGACATATCCATCCTGCGGAATTTGGTATGTGGGCAGGTGGATGTGGCTATCAAAGAGATCTGAGTAGAAGTCATGAAAAATCTTCTCCATTGCCCTTCTGGAAGATGTGATAGATCCATCAGGATGTCAGAGGGCAGTCATCTTGGTCTTGTACTTGGCGAAGGACAGGCGGGAGTTACAAATGCTTTTCCCAGCTTCTGCTCCATCTACCAGCACTTCTGCTCTTCTCTCTTTGAGGTCTTCCTTTATTCCATCTCTGCACTGCTTTGCGAGCTCGGACATTCACTTGCGATTGCCTGAGGCATGCGCCAAACCACATTGGTGAATAAGCTCAATAGTTTTCAAAGACAGGCGTTTTTTTGTGGCTATCTCTCTCTTGGCGTTCCTCGCACAATCATGGAGGTGCTGAACCAGTCGGTTGTATTCCTCTTCAGTGTTGTCAATGACAGCATCTTCCCATGTTGCAGCAATAGTGCCAAAGAGCTCCCAGTTGGTGGTCGGTCTGGGAGTCCTCTTCTTAAACTTTGCAGCCCTTTCTCCCTGATGTTTGAAGTAGAATTTTGCACGAAGGAGAAGGTGGTCCGATCCCGTTTGGAATTTTAGGACAACAGCAACATCGGTCAGGCAAAACCGTCAGTTGAATATGATGTGGTCAATTTCGTTGTGGACTGTCCACCGGGAAACTCCCATGTCCAACGTTTAGATTCGGCATTCTGGAACTGTGAGTTACCTTGGATGGTCTTGGTCGACATGATGAACTCAGACGGTCTGTCACCCTCTTTGTTCCATTCTAGGGTATGGGTCCAGATGTGGAATTCTTCGGCTGATCTTCTTGGTCCTATCTTGGCATTAAAATCACCAACAGTGATCTTGTAGAAGGTGTGGTCTTGTTTATAGAACTTCTCCAGCTCCATGTAGAACTTCTCAATTTCTCCTTCATCATAATTGGATGGGCTGGAGCTATAGCACAGCAGTAGGGCTTTTGCCTTGCGCGCAGCCAACATGGCCGACCCGAGTTCGATTCCTCCACCCCTCTCGGAGAGCCCGGCAAGCTACTGAGAGTATCTCACCTGCACGGCAGAGCCAGGCAAGCTACCCGTGATGTATTTGATATGCCAAACACAGTAACAGCAAAAGTCTCCAGTGGAGAAGTTACTGGGTCCACTCGAGCAAATCGATGAACAATGGGAGGACATTGACAGTGACATAATTGGATGTTGGTGCGTAGACAATGAAGATAGAATCTGCCAGCAGTGAGCCACATCTATTCAAGTGTAATCGTCCAATTCGGGTTGTTAGGCATTCGAATGAATCAATGCTTATGGCCAACTTCGTGTTGATAAAGACACCAACACCACCGATTTCTCTTTTATCGCATGTTCTGAGGAACAGTTCTTCTCCATTGCTGAAAACGGCATGATGTGATTGATGCCTTCTTGTCTCAGTCAGACCAATGATGTCGTACTTGATCTTTTGCACTGGTACCCTCAGGTCCTCGATAGATGCATCTGATGCCAGTGTACATGCATTGAACATACAGACAATCATTTTTGTCTTTCTTCGTTTTGGTAGCCTAGTTTGACCTTGAGATTTTATCAGCCTTTCCTTCCTCATCCTTCTCAATGCTGCTGTATTGGTAACTGCTTCAGGGTCAGGGAAATGAGACCCATTGTAATTATTGGTTTTGGCATATTGAATAGACAACGGATAGCTTGCCAGGCTCTGCCTTGTATGTGGAATACTCTCGGTAGCTTGCCAGGCTCCCCGAGAGGGATAGAGGCTTTTGGGGTGACCTCTAATCGTCCTTGTAGGTGTTCCCATGGTTCAAACCATATTTGAACCCTATCAGATATGGTGCGTCAGTCCTGGAAGTTGGGTTTTAAGAAAAGCGTCCTGGAGCGTGGCCGTGGCTGGGTAGTGAAGGTAGTGTTAGAAATCAAGAATGTCCATTTCAAACATATTTTCAGGTGGTGTCGAGATTGTTGACTTGGGTAAATACATTTTTGTTTTGTTCATTTGTATTTGGTTTGGGGATCACACCTGTGGTGCTCTGCTCAAGGCGTGTTGCCGGCTTTGTCCTCAGGGAATCATTCCGGGCAAGCTTGGAGGATCGTATCTGGTGCTGGGGATTGAACCTGGGTTGGCCACATGCAAGTACTTGCTGTACTATAGCTCAGGGAGAGTACATGTTGGAGACCCACTGCTCCAGGTTGATTTGTTGCCTTGCTCAATGATGGCTTTAAAAGTGACAGCTGCAGATGACTTCTGTATTCTTCTGTCTTCACCTATTACTGCCTACAACTCCTCTCCTTTCCTTTCATATGCAAGGATGCAAAAATGGCGCCAAACAAGGTTATATTTTTATAGGCAGACTCGTGGTGCTGACATACGAGTCTTTTTAAACCCTGGTAATTAGCAATTTGGGTTTTAGGCAGTTCTTTCCCTCCTTCCCCCAATATTAAATATTTCTACCTAGAAACATAAATTGTCTCCATTTACTTTTCATGGACGATACTTTTTTTTCCCTCCCTCCCTCCCTCCCTCCCTCCCTCCCTCCCTCCCTCCCTCCCTTCCTCTCTTTCTTTCTTTCTTTCTTTCTTTCTTTCTTTCTTTCTTTCTCTGTCTCTCTCTCTTTTTTGTTTTTTTGATTTTTTTGTTTTTGATCCACACCTG